GATTCCATGCCTCTGCAGAGAAAGATTCTGTATTTGATATGAAACAAGCAATCCTATGCATTGAATTGATAAACATTAAAGAGAGTATCTAGGGAAAGAATGATTCAGATGATTTTATTTTATGGAAAAGATTATTCACGTGCATAGAATAGACTCTTATTTCACTATCTTCCCATCCAAATATACCAGCACTGAGAAGAAAGTGTATGATGAAAAAAGGAAGGTGGATGTATATGCATACATTTCTATTGTTAACCTAGACAAAACTAGAATTGTCTCCCTGTTATTTCCCTCCTTTGATGTTCTAGAGAAATGTGTTGTTCTGAATGCTTTCTACATGAGCCTTTGTTTAAAGAAAAAAAATAAAATATATTATTTATGCCTTTTAAACAAAGGGCATATTTTCACTTATAAAACTTGAACTGGAGCAAATAAATGGAACAGAGTACAGTTCCTATCAATACTTTACTACAATCATTCTAATGTTTAAGACATCAGTAAACTTAGTTGGTTCCTATTTAAAGTCAAATTAATTACCCCAAAATTACATCTACTTGCCATCTTAAAAAAAAAAAAAAAGGTATTAAACCTTTCACTTTCTGCATTAAAGACTCTTCACATTAGTTTCTTTAACTTAGCTATGTAATACACTAGTGTAAATATTTTAAAGGGACAACTGCATTATCTTTGCCAGCAAAGATTTCTTAACCTCTGTTAATCCATCTTTTATTACTACTGTAAAAGAAAATTATTAATTAGATCTATCAAATTTTGGACATGGTTAAATCTTTTTAATGATTTAATATATATTTTTGTTTTCCTTCCAGCTTTCTAGGAATGCCTGCTTCCTCCATGGCTTATGGAACTTATGAAGGGCAAAAGCCTGGTTCAAATAAAAAAACTGCAGTGTATTCCTATATTTATATGTAGTGGATATTGTTAAAGTCTTTTTTTCACCTGAAATTACATTAGCTAGAAAAATTTTCATTCAGAGCCATTATCTAGTTCCCAGTTCTACAAAATGAGTATCTGAAATCTAGGCATTTTGTTAGACTGGGAGAAGACTGAGAACTAAGTGGTTTTGGTAGAACTTGAACTATGAAATTGGCCTATATTTAGGGATGGGAACAAAATTAAAAAGTTTTTCAAAGTGTTGACAAGATAGGAAACGTTTCTCACTATGTGGCCTGTTGACTAATGGACATTGCAACAGCCGGGACAAATTACTGAATACATACATATTTTTCAAACCTTATAGTCTTCTATTTACAACTTTTTAAAATCTCTAAACAAATATGCTCAGCAAAAGCTGGAACTAGAACAAATATTGGCCAATGAGAAGCAGAATATTATTTGTGTTTTCAATAAGAACATAAAATTGAAACTAAACTGTTGCACATGGAATAGGATAAAAACTAGAACTAATTAATTACTGTGTAACTAAATAAATACTGGTACTGTAGTGTGAGCCTAAGGGCCTATTCGCATGAATTCCTTTTTGGTATCAAGGCCATGCTTGGTTACAACTAGAAAGACTAAGATTTATCCAAGTTTAAATATCCTGTGGATATATGGAAGATACAGGAACCCAAGATGAATTTAGCAAGCTTTCAAGTGTGATCCCATCAGGTATATGAACTGGAACTATGAGAAGTCAGTACTACTTATATTCAAGTAGTGTAATTGCTGGTAATTGAAATAAACCATACAATTGATGAGACAGAAATACATACAAAGAGGAAACACCTCATGTTTCAGTCACTGTAGAGTTATTAAATGACTCTGTGTTGTAGACGTCTTTGAATGATGGCCTTTAGCATTTATTTGTGTTTCCATCAGTGTTTGAGGCTACTCATTATATAATCACATGGCTAGTCCAAATCTATCTCCCCATACACTCTTAGTTTAAATGGAGTGCACTTTCATACCATGAACATGACAAAATATTTGGTAGCCTACATTTGTATTATCTTCAAAGGCCACAGTGAGGGAATTAGATCCTTCTTATAAAATGCTGCTATTAACCATACTGTGACCACCTGACCAGGTGCTGACAATTCTCTGGGTTTGCCTCTCTCTCCTCATTGTTTCTGGCCAGGCTGAATGTTGCCCAGCAGCTCCCAATCCCATTGAGGGGAAAAGGTGTCATTTCTCACTTTGCTGAGAAAAAGCAAGAGACCAAACTGAAATTATATGGAGACTGTATTATCAAACACTATGGCCTCAAAATCACTATTTTGAGAAAGCAATGCTATGAATAAGGCAAGAAGAGAATTCTATAAAGGGACAAGGAAAGAAAAGAAGATTGACACTATGTGCAGTCATGAGGTTTCTTGCAAACTCCATGCAGTGAAGTCATCACTGTGTGTCTTTGCTTCCCAACATGGCTTGCTATATTGCAAAATAAAAACCAATAGCATAGTTTGATAACATATTGACCTTTAATCTATAAAGAAGATTAAATTCAAAGTTTACCAGTATTAAAGAATAACAAATACTTTTTAAAACAAAAATACAAGGTAGCACACAGTTGCATCTTGGTTTCTCCTGCTGCCAAAGCTTAGAGTACATAATTTCTGGGGTACGATTCCATTGCATACAATGCTTCCTATCACTTCAGCATATGTCAGAATTGAAATGAAACATTTTTATTTGCAAAAAGGCTTCACCAGGTACAAGTTTAAGTCAGGGTGCTATTATGATTAGTTAGTCACCTGTCATATCCCATACATTATTTAAACAAACCAGAATGAAATCACTGCTTGTTGCAACATTCCTGCTTTCCCTTGTCAGGTCCTAGATGCCAGCAGTCCATCTACCACTGCATTGATCAATTCAGCTGCTTGTAACTCACAATTGTTCAAAAGCAGTGCTTTTTTCATTTGGGTACCCTGCCCTAAATTCACATGTGCAAGTTCTTATTCCCCTCAGACACAAATACAAAAAAAAAAAAAAAAAAAAAAAAAAAAAAAAAAAAAAAAAAAAAAAAA